CCCCTCGCCTAGGGCCCCCCCACCAGGAGCAGCAAGAGGGGGGGGGGCCCCCCCCCCTATAGGGTTATGTATATAATTAGGATTAATTAGATAGGGCCTCCAATAATATTTAGGGTTTAGCCAAGAAAAAGGATAAGGACCTGTAGATTTAATAATAAGAAGGAATAGATCAGCAATACCTATAATAAAAGAAAAGAAAGAAAGGAAGAAAAGACGAATAAAAGAAGAAGAAGAATAAATATATTGTTTATACCCTAATAAATATATAAATAAGGAAGATAAACAAGATAAGGGATGAGGAGTTAATAAACGTAATATAAATAATATTATATTTAAATACATACATAATCTAAATATTATTTCTGGTCGGCAGCAGCAGCAGCAGCATCTGCTGCTGCTGCTGCTGCTGCTGCTGCTGAAGCAGCAGCAGCGTTGTCTTCCTTCTTCTTCTGCTGCTAATGATGATGGTGTTGCTGCTGTTGGTGGAGGAGTTGCTGCTGCTGCTTCGTACGGGAATACAGGGGGGGAACCTATTAATAGTTCTGGGTCTTCTGCTGCCGCTGCTGCTGCTGCTGCTGATAGGGGTGAAGGGGATGCTGCTGCTGCTGCAGCAGCTGCTGCTGCAGGAGAATCCATCTTCATGCTGCTATGACACCAACAGCAGCAACAGCAGCAACAGCAGCAGCAAAGATACCTGCAGCAGCAGCAGCAGCAAGTCTGCTCTGCTGCACAACACTTTCCTCCTCAGATAGATCAAACCACTTCTTCTCTTCTGCTGCTGCTGCTGCTGCTGCTGTTGTGTTGCTGCTGCTGCTGCAGTTGTATTGCTCCTGCAGCTCAACGGCTGCTGCAGCTGTATTCCTTCTCCTGTGTTGCTGCGGCTGCTGCTGCTGCAGCTGCTGCTGCAGCCTCTTGATGCCGTGTGCCCTCTCCTTTTTTGTGTATATAAGAAAAAAAAAGTAAAAAAAAAAAGAAAAAAAAAAGAAGAAAAAAAAAACAGCAGGCAACAGTATAGTTATACGTGTCCTTCTATTTATAATTAGGGTGTATAGGCAGCTATTTGTTTTTATTTTATTTCTTTTTTTTATTAATTAAATAAAAAAGACAAAAGATTGACGATAAAACAAACAAATTGCAAAGAATTTCAAAAAATACACCACAAATAAACCCTAAACCCTAAACCCTAAACCCTCGCCGACCGCTGGGCCAGACCATTCCCTTACTGCGTGGTCTAATTAATTATTCTTCTCTTTTCTTCTTCTTCTTTTTTATCTTATTTTATTTTATTTAAATAAAGAAATTAAAATACTACATTTTTAGACAATAAACCCTTATAAACCCTAAACCCTAAACCCTAAACCCTAATATTCATAAACCCTCACAGCCTCCTCCTACTAACCTTCCGCGCAAACAGGCCAATAACCCTTCCATAAACCCCACACAACAAACCCTAAACCATAAACCCTAAACCCCAAACCCTAAACCCTAAACCCTTAACCGTAGGCCATGAACTATAAACCCCTAACACAAGTATCAGGCTACCGTGCAGACAAGCAGCAGCAGCAGCAGCAGCAGCAGCAGCAGCAGTTGCAGTAGCAGCAGCAGCAGCAGATTCGCTCAAGACTCAAGCATCCAGTAACAAACAATGGTTTAGGGTTTACTGAGGGTTTAGGGTTTACAAACCGCTGCCTCTAGACAGCACAGCCTTAAAAAATAGGCCTCAACTAAACCCTCAATTAGGGTTTAGGGTTTAGGGTTTGCGTTATAATACAAAACAGATTACCATCTGCTAGCAAACCCAAAACATCACGGTGTTACTCCTGATGCTGCTGTTGCTGCAGCAGCAGCAGCAGCAGCAGCTGTTGCTGCAGCAGCTGTTGCTGCAGCAGCAGCAGCTGCATGCGCTGCGGCATAAGAGATGTTGTTGTATCTTTGCGGAGATAAACCCTAAACCCTAAACCCTCAACTTATAACTTCGCAAGGTAGACCGTGAAGTCCCTTAGGGTTTAGGGTTTAGGGTTTAGGGTTAATCATTAGTCTCGTTGGTATGCTGAGGGTTTAGGGTTTACCGTTAATCTCCATTGATTGTATAGAATTTATAACTTATTCCTTTACCTGCATTAAGGGTTTAGGGTTTAGGGTTTAGGGTTTAGGGGTTAGGGTTTAGGGTTTATCTCCTCTGATTCTGAATGCCTCAAGAGAAGAAAAACAAAATTCAATTGCCGTCTTAACGAACCAAAAACGAGGAAAAAACCCTAAAAAAAAAAAAGAATAAATAAATAAATAAATAAATAAATAAATAAATAAATAAATAAATAAATAAATAAATAAATAAAATAAATAATAAATAAATAAATAAGGGAGTAATTACCTGCTAGGGTTAGTAGATGACCGCCCGATTGCAGCAATGCAAAACTCACATTAGGGTTTCTGCACAATACACACAAACCCTAAACCCTAAACCCTAAACCCTAAATAAACCCTAAACCCTAATTAACTA